AACTAGCCTTTCTCTCTGCTTAGCACAGGCTTTGTTCTGCACCTAGAAATTACCTACTGTGTAATCACCTATTTCCTGTCTTTGAATGAAGGTTTATTCCATATCACCTCAGTACAGCCTTCAGCATTGTTGCTCGTTCTACCTTTCAACACTGCATACCACTTTGATCAAATCTTCTGACAATTTTTTTTTCTGTGGAACTTCTCTGCCTCCTGTTCCAAAGTACATTTCTCTGACTAGGAATATTGTTTTAGGATTGTATCTTTATTATCTGCTCCCTTTAAACTATCTTTCATCTATTCATCATCATCCTGTGTTTTGAAGTCCATCAAAAGCCTTCGTTGAGCAGAGTATGTGAACAGAATCGTTGTTCAGCAAAATGTGTTGTTGACTTTATGTTGTGTTTTCATAACTGAGTTAAAAGCACATGTACTCTTGCACTGGGACCAGTTGCTAGAGATGATGAATGAGGCGCAACCACACTCATTTTTCTCTGCAATCCCTTCTCCTCTCCCTCTGACTCTTCCTCCTCCCTCACTTGGGGGCACTATTCCAACAGATTTGAACTTAAGACAACTATATTTGAAAATGAAAGTTTCCATCAAAAAGTGCTCTGAAAAGTGATATGCTGGTTATTACTGTTTGGAACAGGTGGCCAGATAAGAAGCATAGCACTCAATTAAAATTCACTCCACCACTTTTCTTGGTTTCTATTAGAGTCTTTTAAGGTGTGGCACATACCCATGATCAGCTGATGCTGGATCAAATTTTTATGACTATCAAATTAATTTGATAAATGAGGAAGGCTGTTGCTAGATTCTTACTATCCAAAGCTGTCAGAAGGGAGCATCTCTTGCTGTGCCTGGTGGCACAGGACCTGGGCAGATCTCTCCAGAGTGAGTGCAGCTGTCACTATCCACAGATCCAGCAGAGGGAAGTGTTGTTCTAAAATATGCACCCCCACTACTTGTGGGTAGTACTTACAAACTGCAAGTCACAGTACTGCACCAGGAGATCAATGATCTGGAGCGTATGAAATATGTGATTTATAAATTCTCAGAAGACAAAGAAGCTTTAGCAAATGCCAGAAAGAGCAAGCACGATAATAATCAGGATTTGGCAAGGACAGAAATGAAATTATCTATAGATCTTTGGAGCTTAAATGTTTTTATTCTCTTTTGGAGAGCAGATGTTTGTGTGGCATTTTAGAGATTAAAGGGTTATGATCTGATGGCTTGTGCTTCAGCTAGCTGTGAAGCTTTCATATTAAAAGATGAGATGTTGAAAAACACGTGATCCAAAATATACTTGGTGATCACAAGACAAGTTGTCTTAGAAAGCTTTATTCAAAAGATCTGGGTTCATTTCAGATAATTGCTTCCAGAGCAATTGTCATTCATGATGCTGTTGCTCCAACAACTCCAAGCAGCACTGGAGGGCAAAAAGTCAAGTATAATGTCATCTTTGTAAAAGAAAGTTCAATTAGAAATATTTTAAAGTGAAAATTCAATGTCAAATATTACCCATCTAAATATATAATACCCTGTGTAGCTCTGTCTTACTTATTCCATCAGATTGCCAAGGAGTGTGTGAGTGAAGAGACTGAAGTGCACGCTCAAGACAGCCATTAGTCATGCATACCATTTGAAACTGTAATTTCTTCTGAAGCTCAGAGCTGGTTTTGTAACACCTAAGCATCAAGTTAAGAAATATCAGGGGATGGCATGATGTGTAAAATGAAACTCAGCTTTTCTTAGAGTATGGTAACTGTGGAGTCAGTGATTGAGCACCTGGGGAAAAGACCTGGGAGCACAGGTGAAGACAATTCAGCTGTGTGACCGGAAGGGGCGAAGCCTGGCTGCACTTCTTTTAGACCTCATTTAAGGGCTGGCTGGGGGTAGGGAAGGTTTTTTGGTTGGAGATCCCTTTCTTGGGAAGTTTCTATTGTAAGCCTAGGTTTTCAGAGACAGGTGAGCACTTTTACTTTTGTAATATCTTTCTATTATGTTTGTCCCTTTGTCATTGCATCTCTTGTGTCGTGTCACAGTTCTATCATGCTGGTTTTTCTGGTGTTTTTTTTTTTTTGGTTTGTTTGTGGGTTTTTTTGGGTTGTTTTTTTTTTTTTTTTTTTTTTTTTTATGTTTAAATTGTAAGATGTTGGTTTTTGTGTGTCTTGTAAATGTCTGAGATGAACTATTAAAGCTTGAAGAATGCTTTCCAGATAATGCTGTTTGAAAAATATCAGAAGGTGCTCATCCTAATATATTAGCTTTAGAGCAACTCTAAAGATGAACTTACCTGTTGGGTTTACAGCTGGGAGTTGGGCAGTGTGGGCTCAGATACCTATGGGGTGTGATAGATGGGTTGAGTGCTCCCTCTGTGGATCCTCAGGAGCTGTTCAGCAGTAGAATAAATAGAACCAAAGGCAAATTAAGTTGTAATCTGTTGCTCAAGCAATTAGAACCTCATAACTATTAGGTGAAGTTCCAACTTAATATTTTTCCTGCTATTTTTATCACAACAGAGTGTCCCTGGTTTTGTAATCTAATGAGATAATAATTTATCTTCCTAGCCTATTACTGATAAAAAAAAAAAAGGTGTGGCAGGTCTGGCAGACAGACTTTTCATTCTTAGTAAGTAGGAATAAAAAATATAGAATATGATTATAGAATAAAATATATCTATTTTGCTCACAAAAAGGGTAAATAGTTCTAATATGGTAAAATAGATTAAATCATTAATCAGGGAAATGCTAGCAGAGGAGGTGATTCATATTGATGTTGCAGTCAGCTGAGGAAGATGCAAGTCAGGAAACAAATAGGACTGCTGGCCTGACTGATGTTTACCAAAGTTCAAGAATGATTTTTGAAGAAGAAGCTGCAGAAAATGCCTTGTTACCATCAGTGTAACACACTGTAACACAATAGCATCTCCTCTGAGGTTAAAATACCACTAATTGGAGTCTACCACTGCAAGTGAAAGCTATCAGCCTGAAGTAAATACAAAACAAATACATTCTGCACCATGATAACAATATGGCTGCAAACCAGGAAAATGAGCATGCAATTTTTTACGATGTATCTGTTTGTATTAGTGGAGGTTCGGATTAAAGTGCAAGCTTCAGTTTCAGTAACTAGTTTCACTTTGGACTCAATTGTCATGTTTGAGTTTCAAAACATTTTTTGCATGGCAGTATATTTTAATAGCTCTTCTAAAAGCTGAAACTAACAGTAGTACCTACACGTGTGCTCAATATGTTTTAGAAATTATTATTTTCACAAAGATTTGTGCCAGTGCTGCCTAAATGAGGGGAGGTTTGTGCAGATGTGAGGAAAAGGATTGCTTTGAAAATAGATGTGAAGCTGGTGACAAGACAAAGGGCAAACATTTTATATTAGAATGTAAGGAACATAATTATGTTGTAACTAGGATTTTGAGTAGATATTTGCAGTGGAGTTAGTAAAAATGAAAATATTGCAGGAGAATTACTTGAGTACATTCAGCTGTTTGTGTGTGTAACTAAAAGAAGGTAGAAACAACCCATTTTTCCCAGCTCTTTGTAGGAATCGAGGCAGAACTCCAATTTTTTCTTCTGGACTTCATGCATTTGGCCCAGAAGCAGCAGCCTTTGCAGACATGCTTGAGGGAGGGAATCACCTGACAGCTGGAGAAGGAGGAAACAGGAAAGTCAAATGAACTTCTGGCGGTTTTGAAAGTGTTGTGTGTACTTGTGGCTTTTTTAATGTCATCTGTTTTTGACTGAAGTTGAATAGCTGAATTAGGGCCTTGCTGTGCAGCGCGGCGGCTTTCGGCTGTCCCTTTCATGAAGGAGGGCGCTCACTGGGCGTGCCTGACCACAACAACGGGGCTGCAGCTCTGCAACCCGTGCGGAGGTGGGAAAGCTCAAGCTCGCTTTGTGCACGCATTCACTTTTTATTTGTTTTAATGATCGCGGCCGGCAACGGTTGTTTTCTCCCCTCTTTTACCTCCCACTTTACCTTGTTCGTTAGTCTGAACGCGGGGGGGGGAGAGGGGGCGGCAGCCTCCGCGCCACTTCCCCGGCTCCGGCCGGGCCTCGGCACGGGCCTCTCATCGCTCCCCGGCCGCTTCCGCCCCGTGCGGCCAACGCGGCCCGGCCGCACGGCGCGATGCGACGCGAAGGGAACCTGGGCGGGAACCGCCCTACCGGGCGGGCCGCAGGTGCGCGGCCAGGGGCGGGCCGGGCGCGGCGGCGCTTTTGTCCGCTGGAGCCGCCTCCCCGCCCTGGGGCCCGTCAGCGGTTCCGCCGCACGCGCCCCATTGGCCGGCGCGTGCGGTAACGTGATGGCGGGGCGGGGTCGGAGCCGAGAAGCGCCGGTTGGAGCCGGTGCCTCGCGCCGCGCTGCGGGTTGCCGCGCGGACGGGGCGCGCTGCTGTGCGGACCGCGCCGGGCGGGAGGCAGGAGGGGGGCGGGTGAGGCGCTGCGGGCAGGTAAGCGGGGGCGGCCGTCTCCGGCAGCGCCGCGTCTTCACCGGGCGGGAAGAACGAGACGGAGCGGAGCCACCGAGGGCAGCCCCGCCGGAGAGCGCGCGGCTCGCCTACCGCCCGCCCGCGGGAACGGGGCCCGCGAGGCCCTCGGGGCTTCCGCACTTCCTCGGCCGCGCGCTGCGGCGGCGCTCACCTGCCCGCCCCGTGGGCCGCCGGGCTGGATGCGGACCGGCCCCGGGGATCTGGGTGCTCGCCCGTGCCTGCCGCGGGGCCCGGGGGGCCGCCCCGCCTCGGGCGGGGCCGGGAGGAGAGCGCTGCTCCGCTTTGCATAACGGCGGCCGCACGTGTCCTCGGGTGACCGCCGGACGCGGGTCGCCCGCCGCTTCCCCTTTTTCGCCCCGGTGCGGCGTCACCTGCACCCGCGGGGCTGCCGCCTGCTCTCGGGCGGCTCGGAGCTGAGGCCCGGCCGTGCGTGGCCGCCCGCGCCCTGCCCCGGGCTGCCTGGTCCTTTCTTCCTCAGCCGGTGCCTCCAGTCCCCGTCCCGGCGGCGCGCTCCTTCCGTGTTCTTGCACCGTGGCTTTTGTTTGTCCTCGACCGGGTGGGTTTGGTGGTGCGAGGCTGACTTCGTGCTGATCTGCTCTGTGGTGGAACTGAGGCAGCTCTCTGGCTCCAATTAGGACTTTGTGGTGAGCACTGCAATCAGCCGTTTTTATAGGAGCAAGGAAAGATTGAAGCTGCTTTCCCTGAAGCTTGGCTTTATACGGAGGTTGTCATTAGCGATGCTGGTCAGGTAACTGAACTGACGCCTAGTGTGGACATTTAAAGTACTTTCGAGGTAGTTCTTGAACAAAGTGGGAGCTGTGTGGTCATTTGTGATTTCGAGCATTGATGCTCCAAGTTCTGTTAGCTCTCAGCTTTCCTCATCAGTTTGTTGGAGCGATAAGGTGAGGCACTGGCTGCTTCCCGGTGTCTTAGAGACCTCCCTTCTGTACCTTCTTAGCAGTGAGGGCATTTGGTCACAGAGATATTGGTGTGAGTCCTTAAATGTTTGAGGAGGTGCTCCAAAGGCTTAAGGGTTACAGTCCTATAGGTTATTGCTCATAAAACTTGGTGTGGTGTTTATGTGTGTGGTGTGCTTCTTTCACCTCATGCCACTGAGCTGGCAGAAGGATGGTGGAGTTCTCCTGCACCATGCTTTCCCTGTGTAGGGTGCAGTACTAACCAGCACAAGGGATGTGGCAGGAAGAGAGGGGCTGCGGCATAGAGCCAGCAGCCAGAGTTGGGTTCTGCTTCTCTGAAGCATTTTTCCCTTGTGTACTAAAATGCTTTGTTGTAACAAGCAAACAAAACCTGAGTTCTAGCATATATTCTACACAGTAAAGAAGTATTTTACACAGTTACCTACATTCAATTTCAGTAGGATTTCTGTAATCCATGAGAATTTGCATGTTTGTTCCTTTGTGCTCCTGAGAAATGAGCTTCTAGTCTGATTTTGCTATTACACTTTTTTAGGAAGATGGGATTCTGATCAGGGAGAAAAAGTTGCCTTTTGTTTCTTTTCAGTTACTAATACAACTGTTCTCTGAATTTGATGAAAGCACGTTGAGTAGATTCTAGGCAAGGATTGGTAGTGCTGAAGAGGCATCCCTCAGTAATTCAGCACTATGGTATGAGCCTCATTGAGCAGTGTATCGCTGCCAAAGAAGCATTTTTTAGTGGATTTCATGAATGAAAGGGAGGGAAGAAGGAAGGAAGCCTTGTGTTCCTTTAGAGGTAGTGAAGGAGGCTGTGGCTCCAGTACTGCTACTACAGTGTACAATACCTACTGCTAAAGCCATAAATCTTTACTCAGCTAGGATTAGAAATGGGTATTTAATGCCCCTAAGGGGATAGAGTTTGCTTTATACTGGTCTCCATTGTCTGTTTCACGCTGCTATCTGTATCCTCTGCACTAACCTGTTGGGCTCTATTTGTTGTTCCTGTAGGCATCCTTGTAGCAGCTGTTCAGCTGTTGTCCTGCAAATAGTGTTACTGTGCCAGTTGCTCTTACAGTTCTTTTTTAAGAAGTTAGAGATAATTTGTCTGTATAACCAAAGTAGCAGTGTAGAAGAGCAGAGAGTGTGAAGTAGTATTAACATTTGAGTGTTTAAAATTGATGTGATGTTAATGCTTAAGTGGGATAGATTGTATGTTACTTTAGGAACAGAAGCGTTTTTCTTAGTTTGCTAGTTAACAAATTACTTGCTTGATTCTTTTTAACTGGCAATAAGTTATGGTATGCCCTGTCTAATAAAGGCTTGTGTTATGTGTGTGCAGAGCCACACATCACAAGTTTGTAACTGTGCCCTGTGGTAGCTGCTAAAAGCCGCTGAGAAACTGTGGCCTTCATTTTGTTCTCCCTGCCATCGCCGTGTGGGCGGTCAGTGTCACTAATATCAGAAAGCTTGTTATGAGTCATGTGATCTGAAGTTACTGATAACTAAATGGCACACTTGTATGCACTGTATTGTGTATGCGTTCCAGTAGCAGCCTTGTATGCAATCTTTGTTTTATTATAGTTATACTTAGACTTTTTTATTCTTTTCTCCAAAAGCTGTATAAAAGTACTATCAGTTGGATTCAGATTCTAACCAGTTCTAATCACATTGTAATTCAATACTGAACTAAAGTTTCAGAATACATATCAATAGTTTTCTACACTAGTTAAAACTTACTAGTATGAAAAGATGGATTTCTGGTGGAGTAGTACACTGAAAAGAAGGTAGACAACATAGCTATCAACAGAGCTATTGCAAATGTGGCTGAGGTGTAATACAGGCATGCTCTCCTTCAGTGCACACCAGAGAGGGTTTGGGGGCTTTTCAACAGTTGGAAGAGGATTGTGGAAAGAACTCATAATGGAGTGTCTTCCATTTAACTCTTGCTTTTGCCACTTGGTTTCAGAATACTGTGTTCACACACAATTCAATTGTCCGTGCTCTTATGAGTAGTGCTCACGTGCTCTGTATGTTTTATTACTGTAAATGGGAATGCAGTTTTTACATTCATAGGTTGAGGGTTTAGCTCATTGTAAGAAGCAGAAGAAACTGAAAATGCTGATAAGGAATCTAATGGTACCAATAAGGAATATTGTAATAAAGCAATCTGGTTTTGTTGCTTCTATTAATAAGCTTAGGACATTGTTTTGGATTGTCGCGTTACAAATGCTATTTACTTGTTTGGAGATACTTATCTGAATTATGGTTTTAGTTCGTATGGAAGCTAAGCTTTGGTTCTGTGGCGTAACAGCTGTAAAGCTATGGCCCTGTAGTTCATTCAGGCTTAATGAGTGACATCGATTTTAAAGCTTTTATTCAAAAACCTAGGAAATGTAACCCTTGATGCCCCAGACCTTACTGCCTTATTTTTCTGATGAAAATATTGTTATTTGCTGAGCAGTTCAGGATTTCAGATTCTTATCCAGATGTTGTATGGTAGATAAAGTTCTTCATGCAAATGTATACATGTACTGAGCTGGAATTTGAGAAGTACAAGTTTGGACTGTAATGCTAATGTATTTTTCGTTAGCCTAATTGTTTCCTATGAATGCTATAGTGCAATCTGATGTATTTCAAGAAAGGAGCACTTTAACTGAAGCTGTCTGTTTCACAACAGATTTATATTATTAACAATATAATTTAAAATTATTAACATAATAATTTAATAATTAAACATAAATTAAATTATTAACAATATAACAAGGGTAGTGATCTTTGACTCATAACAAATGGAAACGTGAAAGTGATTATCACTTTGTCAGTGCCTTTGCAATGCAGAAAAACTTTTCTGAGTGTCTTTTATTAAACATTAACGTTGCTTAAATACTAACTTTGCAATGACATTGACTCAGTCAGGAAAGCACCAAAGCTTTGCTTGTGTGGCATATCCTGCCTCACTTTAGGTGCTTTACTGAACTGGAGTTGTTATTTAGTTCTTTACAGCTAGGGGGCCGGAGTTTTTTTTTTACTTCAGAGCTCTTATTGACTCAAGTGATGGTAAAAACCTTGACTTGAAGTTATTACATTTTGCTTCATACTGAAAAGTGGTTTTTGTTCTTGCAGTAAAGCTGCATGGAAGAAAAAGAACTTGCCACTTTCTAGGTCTTTTCAGACAATCTGCTCATAAAGAGGTTTTGGAGCACGAAGGGCTGCACAGCATGGTTGGGTTTGATGGGAAGTATAAAGAGTAAATTTAAGTACTAAGCTAACTTTGCTCAGTTATCAAAGCAGGATTACTGCTGGTTTACTGTAGCATTCAATCCTGATCACTTGTACTTTGTTCTGAAACAGTATTGTTCTAGAAGATGTTTCTGGTAGATAAAGTTAGTGTTGCTTTTAACTGTCATGCTTGCACGTGGATGTGTGTTTTCAGAAAATGCAATGTTGCATAGTATATGCGATGTGGATATGAGTCCTTCAATCCTTTAATTTTATTAAAAGAAAAAATGTAGCTGGGTGCTTTGTCCAATTTATAAGTACGTAACAGTAAGTAATAGAAACAGATGATGGGAGATAGGAATGACTGTTCACAGCATGCTTTCTGCTGGAGTGTTAATAAAACTCCGCTTCCATTTCAGGGGAATCAAAATTATGCTCTATTATTACTAGAATCAATACAAAATGATTTCTGAGATCAGGCAAAGATAATAACAAGGATAGCTGTTTGACCCTACTGGGAGTAGTAACAGCATGTGTGCTTCCAGCTCTGTCAGAACCTAACAGAACCTATTGTACAGTCCAGAATCCCCGGATTAGCTAGTAGTATGCCACATTTAAATATTTCGTAAAGAATTTGAGAAAGTGCTCTATGATTTTACAGTTGAAAAACTTGAGACAAAACGATGAGCAGCTCTATGCAAGTTTGATCAGAGGTAAACAGCCCTGTTAAAAGGGCTATGTGTAGAGACTCAGTATCTACACATAGTAATATGAGAAAGCAGCTTGTGATCTAGGAAAATAATGTAGAATGGAGATTCTGAATATATAAATACACTGAATTTCAGTATTCTGCTTTTAGAAAGCTGGGAATATTTCCTACCATATACAGGATGTTGTCCAGCTCCGTCTTGATCTCAGCTCAGTGCTGCTGAAGTCCTTATAGGCCCTTTATCTAATAGTACCAAATGAGAATGTGAGCATGCTCTAGTTAACACATCAGTACATGTGGTGTTAGGTGTTAGATTACAGTACTGCCTTGTTATAGCAGTGTGATATCCTTGACGACTGCAAATCTTACCTTGTGCTTACCTGACTTCTTGAGTAGACTTTGTAGTGCACTTTGTTCTGCTGGATCAGCAGTGCTGCTCATGCTAGTTGGACAACTAATTCAGAGCTGGCTTCAGATGTGTACACATACTCCAAGGTTCCCCACTTTTAGAACAAGTGAAATGCTAGTTGTCCAGCCAGTTGTCCTTAGAGGCATTCAGGGGCAGGCTGGACTGTGGGCTGGTCTCTGTGCAACCTCATGAAATTATAAGTGTCCCTCTTTATTGCAAGGGAGTTGGGCTATAGATCTTTACAAGTCCCTTCCAACTCAAATGATTCTGTGATATTTCCTTATTCCAGACTGTTTCTAGTGAGGTTACAGGAATCATCTTAGCTATGTCTAGGATCTTTGGCCACTTATGATTTTGAGAATCAGTTTATTG